CCTTCTTGTAAGACTTTAGACGAGTGAGCTCTCTTCTGCCATCTCCCATCACTTTTCCCTCTCTGAAACTTATTTGTGGGTGTGACTTGGCCTGTGGCATCGTATTCAAGTGCCTAAAACCAAACAAACACAAACCTATCCTAGGAGTTATCGGAAGAATTAGTTTGTACTCTGGTTTGCCTGTCAATAAGAACTGCTGAGTGCTGTCTCCTTGGATTCCCTAAAGATGTTTCTTTCCTTAATTAGTAGTTAATCATTGATAGACAGGGTTTGGTCTAACCTGTTGACAGACCTTCACCAAAATGCTGCATAACAGCTATTCCTCCAGCTGCTTTGGAGATACAGTTGATCTGACATGAATGTGTTAAGACACATTTAGCAGAATTCTGTTATTTTTTAAGAAAGACACAGGTAAACATGATTCAGGACTTTGGTTTGCTTTAGGGTGTCTATAGCAGTGTTTTGAAAGGTACTGCCCTTTTTGTGGTCTTGTATGACATTTAGTTACATTTTCCAGAAAGTAATCGTTTACAGGTCATGGATTTTGGTGTTTCCTGAATAGAACAGTAAAACTCTACTGTTCTTGTCACTTTTCCTTTCATTGAAAGCAGGCTGAACGAGCTGTTGCTGAATGTGCTTCTTTATGCTTGCTGCTGTAGTCTTCACTTATAAGGGTGTTCTGGGACATGTCAGAAATGGCTACGCACAATTTTTCATATTTGTGTACTTTAAACATAAAATGAAAAATTGAGGAAGGCATCTTGAACGTGAAGAGCTCACAACAAAGGAAATAATGGATGCTTCGCTTTGCACGTTGGAGTTGGTTCCAGGTAGATGTTGTTTTTGAAACAACAGTGAACTTGGAGGTGGGGGAGAGCAGAAGGGAGGAAGCTAACTTCTAAACTTTATGCTATTTGGTAATTGTGAATGTATGAGCTTTGGTTTATCTAGAATATGGAACTATTATTTGTTGATTGTTAATCATATGTAATCACGTTTCTAAAACTGTTTTCTTCGTACTGCTGTATGCTTCAGCTTTTTAAGTCTGTAAAGAAAATGCTTTAGTATTGACTAGTCTTGACAGTTTCCAAACTAAACCCACATTTTTACAGCCTAGACTGAGCATGACTCAATTAATACGAGTAAGTCTGACTTTATAACCTAAGTTCTGCCTAATTGAGGGAAGACGTGTGGTCCAGTTCAAAACTTGACGTTTTTCAGACTAGAATTTTTTTAGCTTGTACGTACAATATTTGGGTCATGTAGTATCCCAACTGTACTGCATGCAGGTCATGAAAATCTGCTGGTAGAAACAATTTTTCTGGTCTTGCTTTAGCTCTTAGCAGCTGCAGAAGGTTAAAAAGAAGTTTGTACTGCACATGGTGATTTGACATTCAGATTAAAAAGAAGTTTGTACTGCACATGGTGATTTGACATTCAGGTTTCAGTGGTGTGAATAAACCCTGTGATATCAGTGATTTTGGGCACTTTGCAGGTTCAGTGATGACACCCATGAGTCAGGTTCTTTTTTAAACTAAGCCAAAGCTTTGGAAAGGGGCAGAGCATGGGATCCTTCAGGAAGCTTCTGTTTGAAGTGCTCCAGTTCCAGCACAAGGCAGTTGTGGAAAGACTTACACAATCTGTTGAAAAGATGCAAAGTGGCTGCATGTACTAATCTAACAGAGAACTGACATTTGTGTGGAAATGAGGGGGGTTGGTTTTTGTAAAAGGATGACTTATAGTCGTTTGCATTAGCAAACTTGTGAAATATATTTAGTGTTGAATTTTTGTTTCTTTTCTTGAAATGGGGACAAGATGCTGAAGTGAGAATGAGGTACACACTATCCATTTCTATTCAGTGGAAGACTTGCCTCGGCTTTCTGTGTCTGGCTTCCTTCTGTGGTTTCCCTCCACAGCCTGGCTCTATGACAGACTGTCTTTGACCTCTTCGTCTCTCTCTCCCCTCCTCCTCCTCCTCTCGGAAGACTGCTCTTAGCTGACGTGGCACAGCCCTAACCTGGGGCCCTTGGTTTAAGTATCCCGAAGTAAAGCAAAGACACAAACTCTGTTCTATCCAAACTACTTCTCACTGATAACTTTTCTTCCCAAGCATGGTTAATGCAGTTTGTCAAACCGGTCTCCGAAGTTGTATTTGCTGCATGATTGTTACTGGAACTATAATTTTCTTAAAAAATCAACTTATCCTTGAATGCCTCAATCCTGCCCCCCCAAACCAACCCCAAAACCCACTAAACCCAACCAGCTGAAAAAATCCCTGAAGAGTATATCCTGAATAGACCTTAATATTGTCTGTCAGAGGCCCAGTAGGTATGAAGGTGCTGTATGGAGTGTGCCAGGCTTGGTTTCAGCAGTGTAGGAGTAAGGCAGCCTGTGCTGGGAATTAAGCAAATCCGTGGCCTGGAGTATTTTTTACTAGCTCAGGGCCAAGTGCATAGTTTCAACTGGGTTTATGCTGTTGACTGTCAGGGTAAGGTAGTTTCAAGTCTTAACATGGTATTCCTGCAAAAGGAAGAGGTCAAACATGTTGCTTCATCTGCTATAAAGTCAGGTTACAGGCTATCAAATGAGACTATTGTTTTACGCTATTACATTTTCTGTGACTATCATCTCAAGTTCTGTGAAAATCTGAAGTCTTAGGACCAAGCATAAATTAAGTATATCTTTCATAGCTTCTTTAAATCCCTTTAAGGCCCTCCTGCAGTTCTTGCTTTCATGGACTTTTCTTTCTTATCTGTAGCTTATTTTTACATGGTGAGGTTCAAATGAGATCTAGGAAATGTAAGGGTTTGAAGACAAGAATAGTTAGCTGACAGCCAGGAGCTGTTGGTCTAACTGAGCAACCCCTCCGTATTAAGAGCCTTGTGCTGAGGAACACCTGACTTTGCATGTCCTAAAACATCCCTTTGTGGAGCAGCTATGAGAATTGGTCGAGGTTACTTCATTAAATAAACGTAAGGGACAAATCTTGCAGGCTTCATTTGAATTGGAATGCACTGCTGTCGAAAAAGGAGATGGCAGGAAATGTGCAAGCGTAGCTGTGTGCTAAATTCATCTTCACATATACTTGTTTTACTTTATTCTCATACTGTATTTGTATTCTTTAAAAAGCTGTTCTATGTCACAGGCGTCCTCTCTCTAACCATGAAATCCACCTTTCTCATTAACATATGGAAATAAAGTGTGACCATCTTTTCCCTACCAGAGATCTACAGTGCTTTCTGCACACCTGTGGTTTGTAAATATATCGTGAAGGTGTAAAGTGTATATCGTGCTGCTGTCACCAAGTTTTCCTTGATTTTTCCTTGATGATGGCCTTCCTGAAGTCTCAAAGTCCCTCTAGTCTTAATTTACTGGTTAGAGAGAAGTATGACAAGACTCAACACAAGTTCAAGACAGTAAACAGTGGCAGTGCTGGTGACCGAGATGTAGTAAGTTATGGCGTTCCTTTCTTGTGGAAGGCGAATCTCGGTCTCTCCCTACTGCAGAGCTGACGATGTGCATGATGAGTCATTCTGAAGACGGGTTTAAGGAACAGATACGTAAAGAGCCCATAAAGAGAGAAACCTGAATAATCATACTTTCTTTGGGAAAGCACTGATGCTTCAAACGCCATTCCAGGAAAGATATGCATCCCATCCTCACAGCAAAAATCAAGCCTGCATGTATCTCAGACAGGGGCACGGTTGCAAGATGATTTGAAGTGTGTTAAGAGCCAGAACGTGAGGTCAATTTCCTTTGGATGGGATCTAGATGAGTTTCAATAGCAAACTTAATGCAGTCATCTGCAAAGGTGGGCTTGTCTTGGTTTTACAGATCCTTAAAAACCTCTTTAACCAAGAAAACCTGACATTAAAAAATCCTGGTGTCTCCTCCTTGTATTCATGTGATAGTGCACAGCAAGTGCCTGACTGCACTTGAATTGCACCATTGAATTTATCTTCTGTCTCTGGTTAGGTGGATTTTTTAACTGTAGAAACACATGGATATGCAGCTGTTGACTACATAGCCTAAAAGACCAAAGTGCTGACCCGCCACCCTTCCTCAGAAGTCCTTACTGAACCCCGGCCCAGGAATACTGGTTGGGTTCAGAGTCTATTTTGAGGATGTTAAAAACAGAGCGGGAGGAAAACTCTAGTAACTACAACAGGCGCTTTATAGACATGAGAGATGAAAAGTCACAATATGCCATGAGGATAAATGCATTTTATCGAATATGGTTTGTTTGCCTTTATAAATCCAAATGGAAGGTTATTTTGTAACGCATTGGATTTTAAAGGATTTTCAGAAAAAATTAACTCTGATCTTTCTGTCTCAAGTATCCCGGGAACTGAGAAAGCAGGTGTTCTTGTAGTTATCAGTGCTTCTAGCTGGAGTCGCAGATACTCACTTCCAGAAGCATTCTGGTATCTCATAGAACGTAGGGCTGGAGTAGCGAGGAATGCTGTAGCTCTGAATCAGCAGTGCCAGCACATTGTGTGGAAAGAGCATTTTTCCAACTGAGAGCTATCTTCTTGCAGCAGTCCGCTTTTACTGTCCCTCAAATGCCTGTTTTGCAGGTGACAGTTAACTGTATGATGCAGTAGATTGTTAGTATACTCGCATTAGAGTAGCTCCTTCAGGCACAGTGCCATCCTGCTGTCACGACTGTTCACAGGCGTAAAGAGAGACTGTCACTCTCCCAGTAATTTGCAATCTAAACTGACAAAAGGGCAATGGAGATGGAGCAGCTCAGTCTCAAGTTTCTTAATGCCATTCAAAACTTCCAGTGTTACTTGAAAAAAGAGACTGAGTTCAAATATGCTTTTTAAGAAACTCTTCTTTGCTTTAATAAAAGAACCATTAAGCTAAGGGGAGGGAAGGCAGGAGGAGCAGTGCAAACACAAATACAGGAGTTTGGATAAACCAGCTTCTTTCAGGTTTCTGTAGCTGTTCATCAACAGTAAAGGTAACCTTTCTTCTCTCTTTTTAATCTCTTGCAGGAAGTCCAAGGGAAAGCCAAATGGTAAAAAGCCAGCACCGGAAGAGAAGAAACTTTACCTAGAGCCAGAATACACAAAATCCAGAATTACTGACTTCGAATTTAAGGAGCTAGTGATGTTACCACGAGAAATAGACCTCAATGAGTGGTTAGCCAGCAACAGTGAGTATTGTGGTTGTACAGTTCCGAGCTTACTGTCCACGCCCAAGAAGGCATTCATTCACACTCTGTTTCTTTTTACTGTTTTCAGCGCTTAGAAAAACACTCAATGGCTATTTACGCTTACTGCGTAATGCATGTCATTATACCTTAAACAGTAATTAAGCTGTCTTACGTACAAACCAACTGTGCTCAGCAGCATGGAAGCATTGATGCGTTTCCTCCTTCCAACTCCCTCACTGTGGCACTGAGGGCATTAAAGTTTTTGATGCTCTTTTGAGGACCATCAGATTCCCTTTGACTATTTGCTAAACCGTCTGGATCAGCATGTTTCTGACTCAAGCTATTGGTCTTCCAGAAGCATTGTAAAAACAGTATTTTATTAAGACTTGTATGTAAAGCAAGTTGTGCTTAAATTCAGAAGTTTTGAAGTCTTTTGGCTGGATTTCTTCTCCCAACTCCTTCCAAGCTTTGGTGGAATTACTGTGAATTTAAACTGTAGTCAAGCCTGAACTCAGAGACATGACTGACTACTGTGACTGAATGCTGTATCTGTGCATCTCAGTTCTGATTTACAGTACTTTCCTGTGCTTCTGCTTCATCTGCCAGTCCTAACCTACAGCTATGTGACCCAGTCTCATTTACATTAAGAGTATGTGGTAGTAGCAAGAAACTACTTTACACTGCACACTAGGAAAGTTTATAGAGACACATTAAGATAAAGTGAGGTGCCCCCTGAGGAGTATTAAGATGTTAAATTATCTCAGGAGATTTTTAAAAAGTAGAAGTGTACTAGTTTTCATGCTGTTTTTTTTAAAAGGAGATATGTCATGAGAACTATTAATGCTGGTTTCTAGCCACTGTACGTTAAGTCTTGACTTCGAAAGAATGTAGCAAATTGTTTGGTTTCAGCTTGTAGTAGAGTATTCTACTGTAAAGGTGAGGCTGATGATGGAGACGCTTTCCAGTCTTGCTGCTTAGTGAGTAATAAGAGCTGATGCATCATGGTGCTTTCATCTTAAATCAAAACAAGAGCTTTCATTCTATGTACCTCTTTGTCTTGCAGTTCATCATTAGACTCATTTAGCTAAATTGTGTTTAAATTTGTACGCAAGCTCAAGACTCTGAGGTCACTTCACTTGCTCTACTTAAATAATTGTCTGCAGGATAACCAGTGTTTGAAAGTATTTTACTTCTGAATTTCTTTCCTTTGTGTTTATTTTTCAGCAACAACTTTCTTTCATCACATCAACTTACAGTATAGTACAATCTCAGAATTCTGTACAGGAGAGTCATGTCAGACCATGGCAGTGTGCAATACGTAAGTCAATATTTACAATTACAGGGTTTCCGTGAAGTCTTCAGAGTTGCTCGGGGGAGGATATTGGGTTTTAGGTGGCACTGGGCAAGTGTTTTACAGCAGCTCTCTACTTTGCAAGAATGTGGCAGCTGTACATCCTCTTCTCTCAGCAGCGAAGGGTGGTGGAAGTCTGGTTTTGTGAAGGACTAGAAGGACGAGAATCTTTGACTGTTCTGAGCTGGTTTTATAAGGTCAGATCAGAGAGGCAAATTACCATATGTGTAGCTTGGGGGGAGAGGGGAAGAAGAGCAAGGCAAAACTGTCCTTACTGGTCACAGCACTGGGATTCCACAGAAGGCCAGGGAGGATAAACAAATTGCGAAAACCTCAGAGGGTACTTTTGATAGCTGGAATGCTGACAGAGCACCAGGCTGCTGACGGATAACCTCTAGCCTGACCTGAGCCACTGGCTTTCTGCCTGAGCCCCTGGGCACAGAGGACACAAGTGGCAGCTTTGCAGAGAGTAAGGAAAACGTTTTGGTTTGGCACTTGCCCCCTGTAGGACTTAGTAGACTTTTTTAACATTGACTAGCTGTCACTTATGAAAGAAAGCTTTGTAGTTTTACTGTACATGGTGAATATAAGAAAAAGTTACCATAAACTCCTGCTCTTGATTAGCACAGTCCAACATGATGGAATATGAGATCCAGTTGAGTATGAATAAGCCTGTTGTGTTGTGGGTTTTTTTCTCCAGCACATGTGTTGATAGCCCTTTTCTTCCCTCCTCTTGCATTTCCTGGGATTAATTTAGTTGAGATGGATTTTAAAACAGAGGACTGAGCAGTTAATGTTATATAGTACATCAAACAAACATCCCAGGGAATGTATGCAACAGAACCAGAGCAATATATTGTATCCCTGACAATAATTATATAGTGCTTAGAAAGGAATCCTTGCTTAATGCACTGCGCTATCTTGTACACTTGAAATTAGTATCAGGGGCTTTCTTTGAGAGCACTCGGAAGAATGCAAAGTGTATGGAGGGTAGTTTTGCATGTAGAAGTTGGAAGGATAACTGTCAGTAGAGAATTAAAGGCCATGCTAGGGACTTGGAAAGCAGGCTGGAACAGAAAGTCATAAATCTCTGCTGGACCCAGATTTTATCAGAAGGAGACAGCATGTCTCTAAATGAGAAATGATCGGTAAGGTGAGTATTTTGTTGACTCTTGCTCCCAAGCTTTCTCCTGTATTAATTTCTGAGGTGGCTGTCCAAAGGACTGAGTTAACTGTTTATCCACTTGGCTAATGGGAAGTGGTGGCTAAAAGGAGGTGGTGGTAGGGAACCTACGTAAGTGTTGCTCCATTCTGCTCTAGTGAGTCTTAAACAAGAGTTTTCTGTAAGCAATTTATGCTGCAGAATAAAGAAAGGAAGTGCCTGTAGGAGGCTCCAGCTGTAGTCTATATTTTTAGTGGTGAGGACCAATAGCAGAATGTTCCTACCCTTTGTTTTGGAAAACTCAATAATTGTGCTATCTGGGAATAACAGGAAGCGTGTCTACACTCGGGTGAAGCACCTGAAACCGTTTGTATTTGGCTAAATCGTAACTTAAGTATCTTCCTGTACTTGGGGGCAGATGACTGATTCATGTTTGCAAACTGCAGGCTGCATATTTCATTCTTCTATCAAGCGTGCGGGTCTATGAAAAAACCACCTAGGTGAGATCACCTAGCTACACACCTCAATACAGTTCGGCTTTGAAGGCTCTGTTCATAATTCTCCAAATATCTCTAATGACAATTTTGGACGATCCTTGTCTTTATGTTCTGCCTTTCCTAGCTCTTCCCTTTTGGAAGAGATATGCCTAAATGGAACATGGAGAACTGCCTCAAAGATGCTCATTTGTTCATATCCAGTTATGACTATGACAAAGCCGTCCCCAACCCCCTTCTTTTTTTTTTTTTTTAAATCTTACCCTAACGAAGTAAGGTAAGGACATGCTTATTGTGTTGGAGAAACACCAGTCGATAAGATTTATTGTGCCTCTGACCTGTCTCCAGTATATAAAGAGTATCACCTAAACATTAGGGTCAGTTGCTGATTGACCTGATGGACACTCCAGATTTGACCTTCTGTGGCTGTGATCCATTTGTTCAGGTACTTCGGAATCAAATAGCATCTACCTGTATTAGATCACCACAGAATTACAGTACCTTGGAATAAGGGTGCAGTTTGCCATTTTTTTCAGTGCTGATTTCTTAAGTAGTTCAGTATGAAGGTCTGCGTTCTGTTCCTCTTTTATGTTTTCCCTGCCCAGTTCTCTAAAGCAGGTTTTGGGTCACACCGTTCTGGTCATACCTAAGGAAGGTTTTCTGTACTTATGGTTGAGATGTTGAAGTAACTATTGAGAACAGGTTGCTTGTCAAGTTACTTTGCATTCAAACGCACTGCAAATACTCAGTCCTAAGTTGAGAGGATGTGCTGGCAAAATGAATGCCAGTTGCAGTTAAATATTTGAGGTAAGGTTTTAACATCCCAGAGAAGCTCTAGCCAACTGACAAACTGCAGACAGATGCAGCTTTCATCCCTCTGTCAGATATATGAGATAGCACAGCCATCTGCACACAATGAGGAAGAGAATTTCTGCTTAGGGTTACTGAGAGACATCTGATCAAAAGTTAGCCTCCTTGTAGAATAGATGGAAGCATTTGCTGGCAAGGTGGGGTAATGCCAAGAGAAATACTAGAATGGCCAGTTATCTTCAAAATTTAATGATGGTGGCATGAACGTAACTTTGGGAATTATTTATATCATTAATATCTTTATCACTTGCTGTAAAGCAGGTACTATATTTTTAACACAGTATTTACTACTTAGATTTAGTATGGTTTGTAGCCTATTACACAAATTAGCTCTAAAGCACCATGAGCTGTAAACTGGTTTTCTAGCTGACATTTGGGCAAAACTTGTCAAAAGTGCTGAAGTGAGTGAGTGGAGTTAACTAAGAGCGTATGTAAGGGCTGTTCACAAGGCTGAGATTACAAAACTTCTGAGGCAGAAATCAAGGATGGATGCAAACTTCTAGGCAGCCCAGAGATAAGAGTGAAAGGTCTCATTTTGATCCAGTGAAATCCCTTAATTGATAATTCTTTATCACTCATTTTTTCTAATTTTACCATCTCCTTTCTCAGTCTACCTTGCCCTTAGTGTCTCTGCATATGGAGGGTATTTCCTTTGAGAAGTCTTAATTCAAGCTTGCATGTTTTGCATTTTCTTGTATTTACATTCCCCGAGCTGTATGCTTCTACATAGTGGCCCCTTTCTCTTTTTTTTTTTAGCCCATCTAAACTATGGTTTGCCCCTGTCAAACCTTCAAAGCTATTCCGAGTTGCTGAGAAGCACTATATTACTGCCCTTGCATTCGATACAACTTGCTATCCTGCTTTCTTCATAACCTATCTTTTGGTATTTCTAGCAGGACTGTCTCGCTTTCCAGTCCACATAATCTCCACAGCATTTGCCTTTTCCTCCTTCCAGAAGCTTTTCTTGCACACCGATGTTCTGCCTTGGCTTCTACGTCATCAACACAAACGCAGAATGTTTTAGAGGAAAAGGGATAAAGTACGTCCATATATTAAGATGCAGTCCTGTGACTTCATATGTGTTGTACTTCAGCATTTGCATCATAGGCTTTTCTCTGTTAAACCCATAGTCATTTCTCCATGGGATTTAGAATGGAGCTGCAAATTCCTCATGCTCTCCATACTGGGGAAGTTTAAATCTGCCAGAATTTTACATAGGAAATAATCAAAATTTGTATCATGTGAGCACTTTTTGAAAAGTGCCTTAAAGTGTCGTTGTCGTCTTGTCCTTTCTGCTTCCCATCCATTGCCTAAAATGGGACTGTACTGTCACGGTGCCGGTGGTGGAATGCAGTTAGGCTTCTGTGCCCAGCCGAGCCCTTCCATGGCCCCAGCCTGCTTCCTATCTCACTAACGGAGACAGCTCCAGCCTGGGTGGGAGCTGCGTACCAGGTGCGAGATGTTCAGGGCATGTCAGGGGCTCCTCTCTTCCTCCCAAGACCTGTGAAGACTCTGTTCGCAGCACTTGAAACATGAGGAAGACACATGATGCTAATCATCAGGACAATCCTTGTAGTTATCCCCTTACTCTTAATGATTCTTCTTTTAAATTCCGATTTTGCATAATTAGCCTAATTTTCAAGGAAAGGCAAAACGGGTAGGCAGTGGTATGTTACAGCAGATTTAATTCACTTACATTTTCATGTAAGTGAACTTGTGCAGTTGCCAAACTGTTTCTTTTAACTAAAATCCAATTATTCAGATTCTTTTTTGCACCTAAGGGCAACTCTAAACTATGCTTTCTATCTTGCAGTTGAGGATTTCTGCAGCATAAGAAAACTGCTGAGGTACAGACAGTCCAGTCTGCTTCTGCTCTTGGCAACAAGCATTGTCTTAAGACCCAAAATAAGTCCGAGTTGCCTAGAACTGTCTTGCTCCAGCTTACTGCGGGGCTAGACAAATGAGGAGGCTTGTGTTTGTGCACTACATTGTATAATTCCTTATATGTGGATTGTATAAAGGAAGTAAGCAGTGATGAGCAGCACAGTCTATGCCGAAGGGCCCAAATGCTACTTCTGATGCCTGACATAACTCTACAAAGAGCTCTTAACTCCTGCTGGTTTCATCCACTTGCTTACCTTTTTATGCCCTTTTGCAGTCAGTCCTGCCCTCTCTAGTAAATGACAGAGTGACCAAGCACCACATGCTGAAAATGAGCTGAAAGAAAAATTCTAGACCTTAACTGTCTGCAGAACTAGTTTTCAGTTGCCCTTCCTCTCTTAAAGTTTGAACCACTCTACTTATTTCTGCAGCTTCCTCTTGTTTTCACATGGCTTGGGGCATGAACAGTGTCATTAGTGTCTTCACCTCACTGCCCTCAGGTTCCTGAAGAATCTTTTGAGGCAACGAAAACACATTGTAAATTAAAACTTTTCATTTGCTACTTAACATTTTTCTTTAATTGCTTCAGGACTGTTCTGCTGGTCAGTATACATAAAACTTCACTTTCCAAGTGGCATGTATAGATCCTTCCAGTTCAATGCAGTTTAGTCCTGTTAGGCACAGAAAAAACATTTAATCTTTATCTTCCATGACAAAAGGAAAAAAAAAAAAAGTGTCCAAAGGTGGGTAAACGTCACACTGAAGTGGTATTTTGTCTAGGGCTACAATGAGGCTTGTTCAGTGATTTGTGTGAGCAATGTCAGATAACAGATCATTAGCCAACAGCAGCAGAGTTGGAACTGAACAGACAGGCAAAAACGGTACCCTGGCTTTATGGGCTCATGTGTTGGGTGAGGTGAACTTCTAACCAAGTTCTGATGCTCAGACCACTTCCAACCTTGCTTCCAAAGGTAGCCAGCACACCCCACCTATGCTGTGTTCTGGGAAGACCAATACAATGGATTTCTTATCAGTCTGATAATGATACAGGACTGCTACTGATGGAGCTTCAGCTGTCTGAAGGAAGAGTTCAGGATCTGGAACTCAGGACACCTCTAATGTGACATAGGCAAAACAAAAAAAAAAAAAAGTGCTTTGCCGAATTCCTTAGCTGTAAAACATTTCTCACTGCGTGTGCCCAGTGTGATGGATAGCTGCTCCTGGTAACAGTCAGAGGTGCTTTAATTAACCAGAACAAACCTTCAGTGCTTTTGTAGCTTTCAGAGACTCTATCAGGTTAGGGATGGCTGCAGTTCATCAAGATGATTATGGCTAACTGAACTATGGTTGCTTTAGAAGAGCTGGGCAATATGCTAATGTGTCCTGTTCCTTAAAATCCAACAGGATTATTCACCGGTGGCAGAGTCAAATGTAAATTCAGATGTTTTGGGGAGCCTGTAACCAAAGGAGAGGAGTTCTAAGGCAGGCTGGTAGGGATGTGCAGTAGGGTCCTGAAAACTTCCCCCAGATTGGATTTTGGAACAGGATTTGTAGCACTTAAAAACGCTGCCAGTACGTCAGAGCACCAGCCTGAAAAGCTGGTGTTTTGGAGCCACCTTCTGTCTGTTTAATAATACTACGCTACAAGACTAATTCATGTTTTGTGATGTTAAGCATCGGAAGATCACCAGTTTATCACTGTGCAATGTTGTTGCCGTTTAAAAATAGTCATATAATGCTTTCCTGTACAGTTCTATGGACTGTAAGCAAACTACTGCTAAACTGATAGGGAGAAATTCAAGGTTTTTGATGTAGAAAGATACCCTGAAGTGAATCTCTTCTGTAGCAGCTATGATGTATTCTGGTAATGTTGCAGCTGTTGTTCAGTAGTATTTAGACACTAACCTCATAGAGGAGTTGAGCTGAGGAGCCGAGGTCTGAGGTGGTGACAGTGTCAATTCTCTCCACAGACAGTACTACTGGTATGATGAGCGGGGAAAGAAGATCAAGTGTACTGCTCCTCAGTATGTTGACTTCGTCATGAGCTCAGTGCAGAAACTAGTGACAGATGAGGACGTCTTTCCAACAAAATACGGTATGTCTGCTTTTGGACAGGTGCTTCCTGTGGCTCTTTGCAGATGCCATAAGTAAGGTGAAGGTTGGCATTCAGCATATGCATTAATACCAGACAGCTTTCTCACTTGTTTATTTTTTTTTAAAGGGAGATTTTAAGTTTGGTTCATTCTTGTGGTAAGAAAGACTTGCACTGTTTGCATATGAACTGGGGCGAAAGGCTCACAATCCTGTCCCCTTGGCTTGAATTTCATCATCGGTACATGTTTTCTTCAAGCATTTTGAGATCTTCTAGCCTGTATTCAGAGAGGATAAAAATTTGAAAACTGTCAGCATGTATGTGTTCAATACAGCCTGCTGCTGGTAAAATTTAACCTTGTTTTACAACAACAGAGTTAGAAGCCCTGATGCATTAAGGAGGAAATAAATTGGATTCCCAGGAATGTGGCTTGTCTTCCTTGCCCAACCAGGCCTTGTCTCACAGGCTGTTTGCAAAGAATGTCATTTTTAAGAATTGATAAGCAATAGGAAAGTTACTTTTAACTCAAATTTGTGTCCTAACAAGATTGCTACGTGCAATGCCTTTGGTTAAGGGGAAAAAAATAAAGACCTGAAGTTATGGTAGGTGGGCTTAATCATGACTAAAAGCAGCTGGCTTCTTGAGCCCCTTCAATAGAAAACTGGGGAACTAGGACATTACAATATAGGAAATGTTAAGCTAGTAGGCTTTGCTTACAAGCACCTTGATCTGGAAAGAGGCAGTGTCTAGTAAGCCAGCTGTAGTTGACTTTTTTTTTTTTTTAATATGCTTACTGAAGGGCAAGGAAGGCACTTGCACTTTCATGCAAGTGATTTGTCCCTGTGGTCAAGGTGCACTTTAGACCAGTAACATACTTTGTATTCTGCATCATGCACAGGATGGCCAGTGTTGCTTTTTTGCTTGCCTCAGTTTCACTTTCAGTGTTAGTAAAGTAGTTGTCCAGTAATAATCTTTTACTAGGCAGGCACGGTGCTGCTCCAGCAAGCACAATTTCAACTGCACATGATAGAAGGCACCCAGTATTTCCTTCCATTTCTTTTCCCATTTGATAGAATTTCAACAATGAAATGAGGGCAGTCGTTACATACGCAGTCGAACTGCTGCATGCTACCAAGGCCTGTGTACCTTAGCTTCCATTTCAGGATCTGTGAATTGGTCTCCCAAGCATTATGTACTTCCAGGGGAAAAATCTGCTACTCCTGGACAAACTAGATAAGGACCCAGAAGAACCTCTCATTATTTTTACAGCCAGTAACAAAAAATGTTGTGGTTTTAAAGAACGATTACACTTGCTTCCTGATTTTTGAACCCTTAGGGTTTAAAACTTAACTTCAAATGAAAATGCTTAAAACCTCCTTAGAGTCTTCCCCTGAATTCCTGTAAAAAGAACAAGATGAGAGGATGATACAGGGCCCACGAGCTGTCTGCTGTATAAGGTGGGCGCGTTGCTCTTACCCACAGCTCAGCCCAGACAAATGCTGCTGTGGGGCTGAGGGTGAGCAGCTAGAGCTATCATGGTGTTTCTCTGTCTTCCTTTCAGGCAAGGAATTCCCAAACTCGTTTGAGTCCCTCGTGAAGAAGATCTGCAAGTACCTGTTCCATGTGCTGGCCCATATCTACTCCTCACACTTTAAGGAGACTTTGGCACTGGAGCTGCACGGACATTTAAACACGCTCTACACACACTTTATCCTATTCATCAGGGAGTTCAACCTCGTGGACCCTAAAGAGACCACCATCATGGATGACCTCACAGAGGTCCTCTGCAGCAGCAGTGGGAGCAGCAGTAATGGGAGCGGCAATGGGAGCAGCAACAGCGCAGGAGCACAGAACCATGTGAAAGAGAGATGAGCCCTCCTACAGGATCAAAACTAACATTAAAAACAATATTATATATTCTTTGTGTATGGGTATGTATATGTTCAGATATACATACAGACATATACAGCAATGAAAGCTGAAAGAAATTATGCTGCCACCACAGGACCTGTAGTCGTATGGGACTGTACGGAGCTTTGGTTTAATGCGCCACCTGGCGAGAAGTTGCACCAGTTTTATTTTATTTTCTGTCCACTCCTCCTTTCACCTATTCAGATGGATGATGAGTGCTGTTTTTAGAGAAGAGCCAAGCTTGAGAGTGGGACCACTCTTGGGTTTTTTTGGTTTTGTTTTGTTTTTTTTTTTTTCCTCCCCTCTTCCCCCTCCTCCCCCATTTGTTTGATTGGTTTTCTGTTTTTCTTTCTTTGGTCTTGAGTGCAAGCCCTTTGTCTTTCTAGGATGGTGGTCCTGCCATTTAAAAAATATCTATTATATTATAAGAAGTGACTTTTACTTTGAAGTGGCTTAAAATGCAGGTTTGTTTGGGATTTTTTTTGGGGGGGTGGGGTGGTTTTTCGGTTTGATTTTAAATAGACTGCCCCTTACCCCGCCAAAAACTCCCCAGTTGAGTGCATCTTGCCCTTTGTTAGTTTGGAATGGGAAGAAACTCCTGGCTTGACCAGAGTAGCAACTAGGGGCTTGCTACATGTTGAAAGTGGGCACAATTCTCCAGTTGTCCCATCTGCCTGGTCACAACACGTGAACATGCAAGAGGATCCACAAACCTTTCTGCTTATTGCTCCTACAACATATATACTCTTTTCTCTGCTTCCCCGCCTCCTCTTTTCCCAGGCACACCTCTACAAATAAAACGAGTAAGATCACTGGAGCCCAAAACCCACGTGCAAGAGCCACCACCATTTGCTTCCCATTGAACAGAGGCCCAGGGAGGGGGGGAGAAGGGTACATTGAGTCAGTCACCGCCTGTGCTAGAAAGATGGCTGTTGGCATAAAATTATATTGTTGGCTTATTTTAGTTCATCTGTTCTATAATAATAAAAACAAATCTATCAGCCATAAGCTTTGTTTTTGTGTTTGCAGCGTCAAAAATCAGTGGAATCCACCCGTACAGCTTCCCTTTCACCACTGAATGCTGTTGGCCCTGCTGTCAACCAGCTTTATAAATAACAGTTTGTCTTCCACCCTGTAATCTTATATTTATAATCAATTCCTTGCTTTTTCTGGTAGTGCTCGGAACCTCCTCCCCAGGTAATCTGAAGATAAGCACTCCGATGATAAGCAACACTTGGGAAGGAACAAGTTTCCTGTTTATATGTACTTAAATTCTGCAAACGCAGTGGGCTCCGGGATATTTTGCGGTGAATATTGTATCACAGTTATCTGTGGATACAGCATTGTATCAATGCTGTATCTGGACAGTGATATTACTCTTTCCTTCACATTTCCACTGAATTCTTGCAGTCAGCATGTCCAGTTGGGAAAATGCCAAATTTTGCTTCCAATTGTGCTTCTATCAAATCTGTGGCAGCCTCTGAGAATTGTTTGTTACTGTTTTGGTCATTATCCTGAGGTATATACATCATTAATAACTGACCTGGCATGAATCCTAGAAGGTTTTCCTGAATGAGGTCTGTAACTGTAGTAAAAGTCAGTAGAGATAAAAAAAAGGAGAGCAAGTGCAAAGAAAAAAAGAGAAGGAAAAGCACAAGAAGTGCATGTGTGGGAAGCATGAGCAAGAAAGGAGGAAGAAAGAGAAGAAGAAAAAGCACAAACAAGAAAAAAGCTTGTGAAAAAGCGTGCAAGAGCAACAACAGATAAAGGAGGAAAAATGTGCAAGTGAGAAAAAGAGCAAAAAGGCACGAGCACAGGAGAAGGGAAATGGAGGAGCGAGTGAGGGAAAATGACCTCAAACTTTGTGAGCCCAGACTTGTCCTGTGTGGTTTGTTCCCGGATTGTGGGTACCTTGTGAACCTGCAGTGCTGGAGTCTCGCTGACCTGCTCATCTGGGTGCTGTCCGAGAGCACTCCTTCCCCACCATGTCCCCCTCCTACGGCCTCCACATCCAGCCGCATATTCCCATTCAGTTTCCATTCACGCTGATGTCAGCCTTTCCATTACAATTCCCTA